GTGGAAAAATTGAAGAAAATATCTCTGGACAAATTGAAAAGTAATTTCTACAAATGAAAGTTTCAATTTAACACGGAAAAAACTCTATGCGTGCGTTATCCATAAATATGGTTTCTACAACCAAAATAAATTGTAAAATACGAGACAATAATATTTATTGTTGTCCCAACAACTTTCAATATTGTGCAACAATATAGTTGTCGGAACGGAATTGTCTGGTTGGGACAACCACAATAGCTTGTTGCAAAAATCGCTACTTGAGAGTAAGACACCTGCGCCTGTAGTTGTCAGAATCGATCCATGTGGTTGAGACAACTACAAAATGTTGTTGTCAGAGTCGGTCTATATACGGTTCAGGGAACTACAGAATGTAGTTGTCAAATTCAATCTTTGCAGTTGAGGAAACTACAGAATGCTGTTCTTATAACTGAAAAAACCCATATTCAAAATTTAAAAACATAATTTTGGCTCCTATTTAAATATATTTTCCTTGTATTTTATTCTTCAAAGTTAGAATATAATATTAAAATAGGAAAAAGTTTCTGAAAATAAGAATATTTCTGAATTTAAGAACTGTTTCTTATTTAAGGAATATTATATTTTAAGTTTAAGAATAAAATACATGGGTGGAGTCTGGTCAAATCGAGGATTTTTTCCAAAGTGTTTTTTCTAATGATGTAATATATTTTTATTATCAAAATTTTTTTTTTACATATTTAGAAAAAAATTTAACAAAAAAATAAATTTAAATATATTGTTACATCCCGAGCGGAAAGAGTGGTTATTTTGAATTTTAATTAGTATTTGTTTTATTTCGGTGGAATGGTAGGCTAATTACAGTCAAGTTGACTGGGGCTTTACCATTTATTTTTATGCGAGTACGTTATTTGTTATCGATTCTACAAGGGTCTAACTTCAATGAGTACGTCAAATAATTCCCACGGGTTTTCTCAAAAAATACAAAATAATTTTCAAAGGTATTGTAGGAAATGTTAGATGACATGTGGGCTCATTGATCCCTGACCAGTTTGGGCAAAAATTTGCTCCTAATTGTTATTTTATTGAAATGAAAAGTTTGACATTTGTCGCGCGGTAATATGACAATCGCCATGTTTTTTCACATTGAAATAAAAGTAGTTTGACAATTTATTATTTAAAAATAAATTGTAAATTATTTATTTCTTCATTAGATATAGGTGAAGAGTCGTTCGTTTCTAAATCAGAATTAAAATTATTTCCGTAATTCGATATTACCATGTTGGAAGCTGGAATAAATTGCATTGCAGAAAAAAAGGTTCAGCAAAGATTGGTAAGTTTTATGAATGTAATATGTATTTAATTATTTATTATTATTATTATTCATGTAATATATAATATTTTTTTATTGAGTTTAAATAATTAATAATAATTTGACCAATAGAGTAGGATGAGGCATTACTATTCTTGTTTGAATTTTTGAGTCTACAAAATTTATTTAAAAAAAAATAAAAAAATGAGTAGGACCGTTTGAAAACTTGACTTCTTAGCTACAATTTTGCCATGTATTATTTTGCTGTAACTCGATTCTGTTCCGAACTACATCGATATTACAAAAAAAAAATTTTTTTGATGTCCAAAAAATCTAGGGGCGTAACTATTCTTGCAGCTATTAATGATATAATACTAAAAAATATAGATATTAATTTGTTAATTGGAGGATTGTTTCTGGTTTTTCTCTTCCAATTTCTTACCATTCTAACCTAGAAACAAGCACATAAAAAATACACTGTTTCGTAGTTTTCGCTATCAACAGTGGGCGAATAGTTTCGTCCCATCCGCTCATTTTTGAAAAAACACTTGTAAAATTTTTGAACAATAGAATATCAAAAATCCATTATGATATTTGTGTTCAGCACTAAATTTGAGTTTAGAAATAATTTTTTCGACCGTTTATCACTATTTACAATGGTAGACTAAATGAGTGAAAACAAGTAAGCGAGTATATCAAAATCACATTTGGGTACCTAACTCCTATGATAGATGGCGCCGGAAGCTCAAATGTGGCGTACAATGTTCTTTTTACATGACAAGTATACAGTGTAAAAAAAAACTTTAATCGGATGAATAGTTTTCTCTCCATGACTAAAGAATAGTTACGCCCCGCGAATAGTAATGCCCCACTCTACCCTAATATATATAGGTAATATATATTATATTGTTTTAATAAATTAATTTTAGTAAATTAATCATTAATAATTTTTCTAGATTTTACATTTGGATGCTGTTTATTCAAAAAAGAAATATTTTTCAAATCAAGATATTGGATAAAATTTGCACTTTGACTTATCAATTCAGTCTAACACAAAAATCACTGTTTTGGGGGTGCAAAATACGGATACAAAAGATTCAATTTTGGAGTGCACATTCGAAACGATTCAAAATGCTCCAAATGGAAGTGAAATTGGTGAGTTGTTCATTTATTTATTATTTTTTAATTATTTATTTATTCTTAATTATTTTTAAATTTATCTTTTACAGAATTTATTTCAACTTATTTAATTATTTATGATAATATTATGTAATATCTTGCTTCAAATAATAGTTGTCGTAGTATCTTTTATTTTTATAATTATTATTATTATTATTAATATATTAGGTATTAATATTTATTATCTAAAATGTAATATTATATTTACTTATTTTTTTACGGAAATAATTGGATATATAAAAACTGCTTTCCAAGCAGTTAAGGGGAAGAACAATCAGTACCAATAATATGCTTGCTGCTCGATAATGGAAGGCAATAAGAAATTAGAGATTAAAATTAATAATTTTGATTTGAAAAGCTTAAATCAATTTGAAAAATGTTTGAATATTAAAGTCAGAGGAAAAATTATACTTATATAAATAAATAATGATAGTATTAATAATATGATAAAAATTTGTTTATTTTAGATCCTCCTGTCTTAGAGGTATAGTCCATATAAGTCCATTGACTTGGCTAAACTACAAATAATAAGCGCTACGAAAGTATCAGCAACATACTTGAACAAAGGAATGCTAAGAATCAAAAATAATATTACACTTATAAATATTGTTTTAAAATTGAAGTTAAAGATCCAAAAAAATACAAATATGTACCTTCTGAAGTGTGTGCAACTTGTGCAAAAACTTGAAGAGACTGGATGCAAGGATCTCAATCATTTTCATTTACAAGTCCTATGATTTGGAAGGAACAAAAAGTGTTACTTCTGTCTAACAAAAGTTGTTGGTTATAATCGAAAAAATAAAAACTGCATTAAATACCCACAAAATCGAATCAGCAAAAACGTCCTGAAACTAAGACTACTGATTTTATTCCTAAAAATTTTTTAGGAAATTTCTGATGAACTTATGATAGAAAATGATTCCGAGACTGAAGTTAAAGATCACAATGATAATGATATAAAGGTGCTTATAATGTTGTTTGTCTAGAATTATCGACTCCACAACTAATTAGTCAAGAAAAGTTGAATGATCTTTGTCGAGATGTTAATTAAACAAAGGAAAAGTCTCAGCTTTTAAGCTCTCCCGCTTTTTTTTATTTTGGCCATTTCAAAAAACTAGCAAACCATGGTCAAAGGTAAAAATAGTTTAGGAAAAAAGATTTTTTATATCACTATTGTGTGCGAAATCTAAAAAACCATTGCTGAAGACGGTAACAGTTTAAAAGCTAAAAAAAAATTTATTTTGAATATTTACGAAATCTAGTAAACCATGGCCAAACGCAAAAATAGTTTCGGACCAAACAATTTTTTATATTTTTACTATGGCAGAAATCTAACAAAACATTGCTGAAGATGGAAATATTTAAAACCTAAAGATGTTTATATTTTTGCTGTGTCAAAAATCTAGTAAACCATTGCCGAAAGTGCTTCTCAGTTGAAGAAAAAAGTATCATAATTCGTAGATTAGAAGTAGGAGAATCTAATTCATTCCTTGCAAAAGAGTTTGATGTGTCTCACGCGACAATAACAACAATCTGAGGTTAATTCAAATGTTTTAAGCCCAAAACGTATGAGGACACCTGCATACGAAGAAATTGACGAAGCGTTGTTGCAGTGGTTTAAAGTGCAACGAAACCAAGGGATTCCTGTGAATAGACCTATATTGCAGGAAGAAGCTAATTTCGTTGCAACACAATTTGACATTTCAAATTTTACATGTACACCGAGCTGGATTAATAGATTCAAAGCTAGACATAATATTATCGCTGGTAAGATCAGTGGAGAATCAATGTCAGTGAATAAAAGTGATTGGCTAGAAAGAGTGTGGCCAAATTTGCGTGCAAAATTGACTTATGATCAAATATTTAACGCAGATGAGACCGGGTTGTTTTTTAGATTAACACCAGGCAAGACTTTAAAATTTAAAGGTGAAACATGTGCGGGTGGCAAACTTTCGAAAGAAAGAATCACTGTTATGGTTGCAGCGAACATGAGAGGTTCCATTACAAAAAACTTTTAATTTTATAGGTAAATCTAAAAAACCCAGATGTTTCAAAAGTGTACGATCATTACTAGTTGAATATAAGAACAAACGAAAAGCCTGGATAACGTCAGAAATTTTTCAAGAGTGGGTATGTTCTTGGGATCGTGAGTTAAAAAAAAGAAGGAGAAGATTTTACTTCTAGTTGACAACTGCCCATCGCACATTGCGATTGAAGGCTTGCAAAATATAACCCTAGTGTTTCTTCCTCCAAACACTACTTCAGTCCTGCAACCCACGGATCAAGGGATAATTCGAGCTATGAAAACCAATTTTCGCAAAAATCTTGTTTCGAAAATGGTTGAAATTCTGGATAAACAGTCAGCCTTTTCTGATAAATATATTCAGATTTCAATAATTGACGCTATATTAATGATATATGATGCCTGGTCAAAGATATCACAGCAAACCATTTTAAATTGTTATATACATGCCAGATTTCACAGAGTAGATAAAAGTTATCCCAGCACATCCACAGATTTAATTGACAAAGACGACGTGGATGAAAGCTATGGATCTTCAGCCACATTGCAAAAATAGGTAACTTATAATTGTCGTCTTAAAATAATATATGAGATGGAAAATAGTATTTTCTATTTAGAATAAAACATTAATGTGTCTACCAAAACATTTTAAATTGATTTATTTTTACAGTGTATCTTTGAAGAACGAGTATCTTGAAAAATATGTCGATATCAATAATGAGGTTGTCACAAGTGAAAATCATTCAGATGAATCAATTGTACAGGGCATAATCAACGAAAGAAACCAAAGCGACGACGATGACGAATCGGAAATTCAAGACGATGAGATATGTTTATCGCCGAACGTCTCTGATGTTTTAACGGCTGCAAATTTACTAAGTACATTTGTCCATTGTACTTACGATGACGACAAAATTAAAAGTGCTATGTCTCGAATTCACAATATTATCCGCAGTTCTTATTATAAAGTAAAAGCAAATCAAAAACAAACAAAAATTACAAATTTTTTAAGTTCTTAAATTAATTTGTACAAAGTGCATATATTTTTTTCGCTTATAACAACGTCCGGTTAATGCGACGGAAATCCTCTGTCCCTTGAATGTCGTTATAACCGGACTCGACTGTATACATATATCAAGCATACCTAAGTCACTAAAAAGAAATGTCAGAGCTTTAAAGACCCAAGAAGATTCATCACTTATGTCTCCCATTTCTTGATCTGTATTAAAAATTTTATTATTTAAAAAAATTATTTTAATAATTGTTAAAAGTTTAATTTAGTAAGTATCTAAATTTTGTTAATGAGTATACCTGCGCTATCAGAATAAGTATCGATATGTTCTTCATCAACCTTCTTCTTTTTGGCTGTGGAAATTTTTTCAATAATTAGGCGACTTTGGAAATTTAAAAATAATTAAATTAAATTTGAGGGATTTTATGTAAGTTTCAAAAAAAAATTTATTCAAATTAGTATGTAAACATGTAGTTCAGCTAAGAATTTTTAATATGGTAGTTGAAAATAAAATGAAATTTACCTAAAGAATGATCTTGCCCAAGCCGGTGTTCCATTTCAAATGGTACCTTCTTTCGTGAGTTGTTTTATGTTCTGTGGCGGGTTTGAATTACAAAACATCTTTGGATACTATAAATAAAATTTAAAAAATGTTGTATCTTATAGATACAAACAATTAAAATAAATGTAAAAAATATTATTTAGAGAATAATAAGAAATTTGTACCTGAAGATGTAGTAGGATTTATCATCGTATCTTCTTTCGTATGACCGTTTCCATTGGTTTTATTCTTCATTTTATAGATTTGGGTTGTTTCTTTATTTTCAGCATCCTCCTCCTCTCTAGCATCCTTTTTCTTTCCAGCATCATTCTTTTTTTCAATATCCTTAGCTGGTTTTTTTTATAAAAATAAAATAAATTTTGTTAATTAATTAATAATTGTATTTCGCACCTCCTCCAAATAGATCAACTTGTAGTCTCCCTAATTTTTGCCAAAATTGTCATATTTTTAAAGAAATTAAAATTAAAAATTGACGATCGTATAGCTCAGCTGTACCTATATTCTGACTGCTTATGGATTTCTCATTCTCTTTCTTTGTGCCAAAGAACTCACAACTGTTTATTTTTCCAAAACGGAAAAAGAATCATCAACTTGATTCAAAAATATTTTGAAACATCGGAAGCAGGGAACAGTGATTTATAGTGAAACCTTACCAGGTGTCAACAATTTTACTTTCATCGCGGAATTCAGTCGAGTACCAGGAGTCAAATAAACGTCACCAAAAACAACCTTCTTTGCATCTCGGAATTCAATCCAAATAGGTAATTGTTTAACTTTTTCATCACTTTTGTGAAAAACAACTCATTTTGTTTCTGTCGCTGGGTTCTGACCCACGCACATTTATATTAAAAATACGTTGTTGAAAGGTTTTTTATCACAAATAAATTTTAACCAATTTGTGAAAAACAAATAATAATATATAATAATATAAATATAAATAATAAATAAATAACTAATAATAATAAATAATAATTGTTTCAATTACTAACCTTATCAAAAGGTTATTTATCGCACATAGGTTCTAACCTTTTGTGAGAAGCACCTAATGTTATTTTAGTACACATATATTAAAAATACCTTATCGAAAGGTTTTTTACCCCATATAGGCTCTAACCTTTTGTGAATTAACAACTAATGTTGTTTTAGTTGCTAGGGTTCTGACCCACACACATTTATACTGAAAATACCTTTTTGAAAGGACTTTTACCACATATAGGCACTAACCTTTTGTGAAGAACAACTAATGTTGTTTTAGTTGCTTGGTTTTCTGACCCACACAAACTTATACTAAAAATACCTTTTTGAAAGGTTGTTTACCACATATAGACACTAATCTTTGTGAAGAACAACTAATGTTGTTTTGGTTGCTGGGTTCTGACCCACGCATACTTATATTAAAATAAAATACCTTTTTGAAAGATACACATATAGGCACTTACCCATTGTAAAGAACAACTAATGTTGTTCCTATTGCTAGGGTTCCGACCTATGCATGTTTGTATAAAAAATACCTTTTTAAAAGGTTTCTTTACCACACACATATATAGGTTCTAACCTTTTGTACAAACAAATACTATTGTTTCAGGTGCTAGGTTTTTGACCCACGCATATTTATATGGAAAATAACTTTGTGAAATGTTTTTTCCACACATATAGATTCTAACCATTTTTCAAAAAAAAAAAATAATAATATTGTTTTATTTGCGAGGGTTCTGGCGGTTCTGACCTACTCATATTTATATTAAATAAGACTCTAAATCTTTATAAAAAATTACTGGGTTCTGACTCAAGAAATGAATAAATAAGATAGTTAAATAAATAAACAAATAAAATTCTAATCTGAATTATAATATATTTTTTAATTAATATTAGGCCCTTACCAAATAAATTATTTACGAAGAATAATAAAAATGTTGAATTTAAAAGTTAACTACGAGAAACAATATGAACACGATTAGCTTTCTTCTTGTGAAAGAAACTATATGAATTCGATTCATATGAGAGCCAACTATACACTTCGAAAAATTTCCAGAACTTCTAATTTAAAAAGTAATAATATTTCTAGCAAAAAAAAATTAATAATAATAATAATAATAATAATCGAAAGATTAGAAATATCTATCTCCACTAATAATGAAGCCTCACATATTAGTACATATTTCAGAGGAAATAATAAGTAATTTTAGAAAAACGACAATATCAATAATCACCAAAACCATAAAATTTAAATTAGTATTTTACTAATTGAAGGTGTACTTAAAAACGCACTCCTTTAGAGGGACAATTCTTATATCAAGTTACTTTTTTAGTTTCAAAACCTGATAAGTTCTGCAGATTCATTCTAAATCTCAGAAAATTTAAATAAATTTTTATTTCTTCAGTATTTTAAACTTGAAGATTATAGAACCGCTATCAATATTTACGATTTTATTCTTCAGAGTATATCCAACCTCTTAGGATTTTTATAAAAATCATGAAAGCTTTGGTTTCTTCTCGAAAACAATGGTTTTATTTCTCTAATATACCTGATGATTGTATTGTAAATTGTGAATTGTGAACTGTATTGGAAATCTTAACGTGACAAAGAAAACTAAAAAAGAACTAAGTATTTTAATTAATGACACAAAGAGTAAATCTGATTCTAAGCAAAAGCGGTTAATTTCTAGATGAAAAATGGTCAAAAATTAAAAAACTCTTAAATACATATAGTAAAAAAGTCGAATACTCTATTAAAGATTTTAATAATTAATTAATTAAATTAATATTTAATTAATTTTATTTATCATTGATAAATTTAATGATGTTCTTGTGGCTTCTTGTACTACACTAAATTTTAACTGGATCTATACCAAACATTACAAAAAATGTTAGCTCTAGAAAAAAGTTCAAAAAAAACATTTCTCTTGTTTCTATAAACACTATCACGATAAATATTCAATTATGCAAATTACATAATAAATTTGATTAAAAGTCTATATCAGAAGTAAATTTTATTTTTGAAATTTTTACTTAGAATTCTTCTTAGAATAAATTATAATATCGCTATACCTTATAGACCTTATATTAATAATATAGGAAGGGATAAAAAAAAGCTCTAAATCAAATCACAAGAAAAATTTGACAATGGTGTGAGAAGCTTAATTTGTGGATATTCGCTTCTTACAAAGAAAATTTCAAACTAGACGCCACTGAATTTGAATTATACAAAAATCAGTTTTTAAATTAATAATTGAACGAATCGGATAATCGAAAATAGACTTATTCGCGTAGTCGTATGAATAAACAAGTTCATATTATATATATAAATTAATGCCCCAGTCCTAAACACACTTGGAAATGCATAGGATTCTAGAAAGTGTTATTGTAGTGCACTTTACTATGTTCATGTACATTATAATTTACGGATTATTGTTCCCGACTGGTCAACACAGCTATGATACCCTCTATTTCAGTTCATGATCGTTTCTGAAATCATCACCTTCAATCCTGATTAAAACTTTTTAAGTTCATGTGTCAAAAACCACCAAAACGGTATATAGTATTGAAAGAGTCTACCCTGGTATCCGTAGTGTTATCAGGAAATTAATGTTAAGACGCGGAACTCCGGTAGACTCACGATCGGATTCTTAAGTTCTTATTTACTCAAATCTTACGAATCAGCCCCTCAACAACACGTAACTGCCTAAACCTTATATCAATGGACAAAATAAGTTCTAAAATTGACTGAAATACACACTGATATCTTTTCGTCTCACAGTATGTGTCATGCTTCTACTTCTGTGACTAAAAGATTTTAGATTTAGAAATTACATTTACATTAGATCTACATCTCTGAGTTTTCAGAAAAACCGCAGTTTGGACTGAAAATTCAAACACCTTCGAAAAATCTCATGTCAAATTAGATCCGACAATCAACAATTTGCTTATGCGATTATAAAAAGCTAAATAAGTTTCAAAATAATAAATGTTTTGTAATTCGTTCAATCTTCATATTAAACTCAACAAACATTTTTGCTGTAATCAACTTTAAACATCTACAAGTTGATCTATTAGGAGGAGGCGCGCAATAAAATTGTTAAATTGAACGAACTTACCTGTGAAGTTCGATTTAAATCGTATGAGCGCCTCCTCCGAATAGATCAAACCCACCCTAAGTGACACATCACTCTCAACATTAATTTTCTATAATAAAAATTTCACCAATATAATAATTACGGCAACACTTTAAAAAAAATGAGAAATCCATAAACAGTCAGAATATAGGTACAGCTGAACTATACGATCGTCAATTTTTAATTTTAATTTCTTTAAAAATGTGACAATTTTGGCCAAAATTAGGGAGACTACAAGTTGCTCTATTCGGAGGAGGCGCACAGTGGGGGTCAATAGACGTAGAATTAAACCTAGAATTCGCAAAAGTGCGATCTTGGAAAAAAATTCACTCCACTCG